AAGAAAGGTCCTTCAGTTTATGAATAAGGCTGTTCGGTGCCTGCTGTGTATCCCAAGGTAAATCTGCTTCCGCTTTCTCTGTGGCTGTACCACCGATGACTGCGTGGGGCACGCACAGTGATTGCTGTCAGTTATCTGTATCTAAGCATCATCAACCCATTTAGGTAGTAACCTCTCAATCTCAAGAGAGCAATAAAGTACAGGTAGAGGATCACAAATTCATATCACAGATAGAGGCTTGCATCTTGGCAAGTGACACACAACACAACAGCATCACAGGGAAATTCCCCCTGTTGACAGCAGGCCTTATGGACAGATCAACGTCACAAGAGGCAGCGCTGTCGGTAGGGAAGACACTGGCCCAAAACTTCAGAGGTGGAGGGTTATAGCCCCAGCTTTGCTGCCACCCTCAACATTAGTTGAACCAAGGAAAGTCTTGCTAGACCTTCGTTCCCAATCCTTAAAATGGTAGTTATGCTTCCAGACCTGTGACACAGTGTGAAGATAACATTTTATTAATAATTTGCTGCCATATGCTACTGAGGAGCAGTACAAACCTCAAAGAACAGCACTTGTGTTGCAGCGTTGAGCTTCCTCAGCTCACATGGATTTCCATCACAGACAGGCTACCTTGGATTTTCAGTGGGATGAGACTCTGAAAACTGAGACCTGCATAAAACCAAGAAGGCTAGTAGAAAGGGAGAGCCCAAAAAGGTAAAATGCTTGCAGGTAACATGTGGACGTGTAGTGATCGCAGGTAACATGCAGGGGATGTAGGGATTCTTTAAGGGGGAACATAAACCAGGGACTTTACGCAGACAGCAAAACACAAGCTTGCCCACCGGATCAAACAGTAAACCTTTTCAAAATTACAAAAAAACAAAAAAACCAAAATCAAAATGAACAGTCCTGTCCCAGCACAGAAAAGAAAAAGCAGCATAAATTCTGATGTGTTTAACGTCAACTCAAAATAAAGCATCTGGAAAAAAAGATTGTGGAGAAGCAAGTTAGAGGAAGCATAAAAAACTACTAATAGAAATATTTCCAAACAACTCTAAAGTAGGAATTCTGTGGGGGTAATGAGGCCAATAACTGATGCAAGTGTAAGAAGCGCAACTAAGGAAAGGCTGTGTAGAAAAGCTGAAAGATTTATTGGCATTGGTATTTACTTCAGACATGGTCAGGGAAGTCCTCAGACAGCAGCCACCCTTTACAGTCTGAAAAATGGTACCAAACAAAACTGCCAGTAGAAGTTTTAGAAAAAACAATTAAATCAGCTATGGCAAATAACAAGGCCCAGAGGGCATGCATTCACGCTGAGTTAAAGGAAACCAAATGACATTTTTTTGAACTTCTAAGAGGAATTCAAGCTATTGCCTAAAGCAGCTTCAGTATCAAAAGAAAAGGCAGGGGGGATTATGGCAACTATGTCAATCTTCAAAAGGGATCTTTGCATAATCTGGGGAAATACAGGTCACTAAGTTTGATTTTGACATCAGGTAAGTCAACAGAAACCACAACAGAGAACAGAATTAGCAGATACACAGATGAATATGAGAAAAGTTAATACAGCTTTTGTAGAGGGAACGCCTGACTCATCTGTGATGGCATCAACGAGCTCATCATCTATGTGGTGAGCTGATCTGGATCTTGTGCTTGGATTTGCGAAAGGCTTTTGATAAGATTCATCCGCCAAGGCCCTTAATAAACTCAATTCTCACGGAATACAAGAGAGATTTCTCCCATGGGCTGATAAGTGGTTAAAGACAAAAAACAAAGAGATGGAATAAATAGACAATGATCACAAACAGTGGGAAGGTATCAGCAGGTGCCCATAAAGATTAGAGCTGTTTGACAGCGATCTTGAAGAAACGTGTGAATAATGAAGTAATAAAGCTTGCTCATGACAAAGTTTTTTCTGCAAATCCTGGATTCTGGGTCCTAAAAAAGAAAAGACAAGCCAGGGCAGACTAGGAAAGTGTATTTGTGCCTTTGCATTATCTAGAGATGATGTGAGATTATGCAGGAGACAGACCTCCTGCTTGTGGAACCAGGCAGTAACATGACTTTGAGATAGAAATTCAGTCCTAAAGTGCATTAAACATCAATTCACACAGCCTTTACTACGTGGTAAACAGGACTGGACTCACGAGCTGCTCAGCGATCCTGCAGAAACTTCCTTTCCGTTCAGGCATACCAGATTGGCAGGAATTGCCTAGGCCATTGGATCAACAGGGCTCCGTAGCGCAGTATCCCAGCACCGACACACCCATCCTCACCTCATCTCCGTCCAGCGGAGGAGTTGCACAGTGAATTCTGGTTGCCTCTCCCTGCGCATTCGGGCCCGACCAGAAAGTCCCGAGCTGTTTCTGATCTAACGACCACCAGGCCCTATTAGTCTAGTAGATCCCTAGGATTTCCTGAGAGAAAACATGGGAGCTCTTTTAAGCTATTGTTTTTATCCTTGTTATTGTGTTCCGGCTTCTGTTTACACTGTCATTAGTTTTTTCAGGTACTGAGCCAAAGATATGCTGCCAGGGAAAAGTATTGTTCTTTGCTGTGGGAGGGGAAATTCTGCAGGAATAGACGTTTAGATAAGCATCACTGTTCTTGTCCAACGTCGTTTTTCAGGCTTCTTCTACTCACTGCACTCAACATGGTATGCTGATGGTGCTCTTCAAAATGTGACTCTTGGGGGGAAAAGAGGAAAAAATGTCACTACAACAGCTGAAAGTTAGTCATGTTTTAACTGTAATTAAAACTGAAAGGTTTCTCAGAATGTGGTAGAAACTTGACTCATTTATTTCTATTCCTCTGTGTAAATTAGGCACAAGATATACAACAGACGGTACATCTGTGTCAGTGACATATGGTTTAGCATTTAATATTTTGTTCAGTTTGTTCACATGCCACACCCATTGATTTTGCAATGAAAACGGATGCAATTTTCCAGCTAACAGGATGATATCCATCCCAAGTCATCAAAGACTTTAGGCCTCACTGCTATCAAAAGCAACAAGCAACTAAGAAATTGCTTCACACTGTGTGTCCATTGTGGGATGAGTATAGGGTCTCTCTTACGAAGCGATTCTTTAAATATGGTACCTTCATGCCTGAGGGCTACAGACCAGTGTCAGATGTATTAAACCCAAGTTTACTTCAATACTTATGCAAGTCAAACTAGTCAAGCACGTCCAGACTTCTGAAGGGGCATGGTTTTATCCCCAATGTTGCTGTAATATCACAAGAAGCCACCTAATGGAAAGAGTAGCCCAAGTTGGCCTACTTGGTGACCTAGAGAAGCATTTGGGGATTTCAGGAATTTCAATTATCTTTTCATAAGAAAGATTTGATCCAGATTGGGGTTCAAGGGGGAACAAACCATCTGACTACTTTGGAGGGAGAGAAGGATGGGTACTTATTTAAAGCTTTAGCTGGTTGAAATGTTGTATTAAATATTATAGACAGCTATTTCATAAAAGTACAGTCTTTCAAAGACAGTGAATTTTTCCCCATTAGTCATATGAGTTAGTCATAGTTACTTATCTCTAGCATTGTTCCTGGTTACTTGTGCACTGTATACTATAAAGAAATGTAATTCTGGGAAATTAGGAGGGCATGGGAAATGACTGTCTAGGCATGGTCCTATAAAGGACTGGTGGGTTAAGTCTCCCCTTCCCCTGGGCGTGTACTACATCACATGCTCGGAAGATGTGTTTGCCGTGGACATGTACAGTACTAAACCGTGCTCTGATTGTATCGTAGTATCAGAGGGGCATGGCTTCCTCATAAAGAACACCCGGCTGGAAAAGTGCATTCACATCTCTCACCACGAGCCTGACAGCATCGGCCTGACTGACTGCAAGCTGCACTCCCAGCAGCAGCAGTGGAGCTGGAACCCCACCACCAAGACCATCGTCAGCCTTAAAACGAAGCAGTGCTTGTCGGCCCACAAGACGCACAAGTATGTGCTGGCCAAGTTGGAGCCCTGTGGGGCCTGGGAACGCCAAGCGTGGGCCTGCAGCAAGAAGGGACACTTGACTTTGCAAAGCCTGGGCTTCCACCTCAGCACCAAGGAAGGAGGCCATAAGGTCTTTGTCTCAAGGGAGAAGGACAAGTACAGTAAGTGGAAGACTTTAGCAGATGAAACCATCTGTGCTGCTGCCCGGATGGCAGCTGCGAGGCCTGGTGAACCAACACAAGAAGCTGTAGACAGACTGGTCTGGATATATGAAAGTAAGATGACGTAGATTAAGCAACTGATAACATCTAACCTTAGGTGTCATCATCACCTAGAAGCCACCTAACACCAGGCTTGCTTTCATCATCCTAACTCATGGTCACTTTGGCCAAGTCTGGAGGGATACTGAATGGTTCAAAGCCAGCCTGACTACACTTCTGTACCACCAGCTTCCAGTAGCTGCTGTTCAGTGTTTTGCAGAAAGCATGCAGCATCTTACTGGGTCAGGCTTCTAAACCTTAGCTGCAAGTCTGATGACAGGCAAAAGTAAAATATTTTGGAAAGCTGGTCTGAATCAGTGCCCAAAGCTAAGAGTTGTTTGAATGGCTGGAGAGTCCTAACTCCAAGACAGCTGAGGTGGAAGTGTCATGCGTTAGGCATCTATACTTTGAAGGGGCTTTTTCAGACTTTACACTTCTGGATAGCGTTCAAAGTAACAAGAAAACTAGAGGCAGCTGAGAATCTTTTTTAAACTAATATGAATTACTGAGGAGCTGCTATATTTGACAAGAGAAATCCTTGCTTCAGTTTCTGAGCAACACATTAGAGTTATCTCCTACCAGACTCAGATAGCACTCCCATCACTAATTAAACCACAGTTCTAACCTTCACCCCATGCTCTCATGCTCTTCAAAACTGAGCGTCGTTCCTGATCCCTGACGTAACTGTGAAGTGGCCAGTGAATGCAGCAAGCGTTGGGAGGTGGTTTAAGTATTGCCCTCTCTTTGCATTAAGAAAGCCCAAAACTTGACATCAAAAGTTCATAAATCCTGGGGATTATTTCAAGGCTACGGCCTCATCTGCTAAAAAGAATCAAAGCTCCGCCTTCATGAGCATTCCCTATCCTCTGCCTAAACTGGATGCAAAAAAGAGGCAGAAACCCTGGCCCTAACATAGCCTTAGGCATTTGACACCGGGCTAACTCCTAACATCAGACATTTGGCGTAGTCATTGGACCAAGACGAGACTGTCGTCATTGGTAAGATGGCCAGTGAAGCCCACTGCAGATAACTGACAATTCATGATCCAGTCTGATTCCTTCTTTCATTTGCTCCCTTATGACTTACAAACTGGGAGGTGGTTTCAGGACTTCTCTCATGAAGTTGTGTGCAGAACTAAGACCTGAAAAATCACGTTCAGTTCCTCCCCCCGTCGTCTGCTCTCCTCCCTTCTTCCACTCCAGGGCTCGGAAAAGAGCTGGCATTTGTAATGATTTTTCTGTTTGTCCATTTAGTAAGTGATGAGGTCCCAACCTTCCTGAAGGGAAAATATTTCCTTTACAAGAGGCTACTCCTTACATTAAGGCCTGATGGCCCCCATGAGATTTTTAGCTTTGCAAAAATGAGTAAAGAGACAATGTGATGAATCTACTTGGCATAAGCAGAAAGATTATGAGTATAAACTTTTGACACAAAGAAGTTATATCTAATTGGAAATAGGAGGAGATACAACAGCTTTTTTGGCTGCACCATGCAGACAAGATGGCCTTTTTACTCAGCTTCTCAATTAGTCAACTAGAAGGTTTACATGTAATTATCACAGACCAGTAATCACAAATGTTAGTGCTTGTGTAACATAAAGGTAAATAAAGCCAATAAAAATTAGACACTGTAATAGACTAGTTAAATATAGACTAGGAAATGCTTGGAACATTTAAGATATGGGGAAAAGGCATGTGAAAAGGGCATTTGCATTCCCCAAGGCAATGTTCCTGGCACACCAGTGCTCCCTTGGAGCCAGGCTCCACAAATAAGGCTGCAAGTGCAAACACAGAGCAGGCTTCGAACCAGGTTCTGCCAACTGCTGTGTGTTGTGCACACCGATAGCTTTCCTATCAACCTCATGGATCAGAATCTACTGGAGTGAACATATGCCGCTGAGCCTTTGGCGATCTCACTGCCTCTGGCAGTTTGCTGCCATATGGAAAAGCCTGCTTTGCTTTTGCCTAGAGCCTGTTCTACATGATCAGATCCTCTACAAATGCTCCAGGGGGGCTAGCTTTAAGCATTGCAGCAGCAGCGTCTGCAGGACTGAGTGCAAACCCACCCAGAGACAGGTCATCTTCCTCCCTTCTTTACGCACTCCAACAATATCTACAGCAAAGCAGGTCTCTCTAACGAAGGGCTCCAACGACTTCTGAAGACTAACGACACTGTGCCAGCCCCGACCTTCTCAGCCAGCTTAAATGACTGTTTGAAATCTGGATTTCTCAAATACTCCATCAACAACTGCAGATACCTGAAACCATATTTACCTCACTCCCTTGCAAGAGACATGGACTATTTAACACCCATTTGAACACATTTCTTTATCTAACACCTGTGATGCTTAGCTATAGTTCTTCTTGCCTCTTCCTCACACCTCATCCTTTAACCGCTGATACTGTGTTTGTATTTGGTAGACCATAATTGACCTTACCTACCACCAAAAAACAAGCTCCTGTCTGCCTGTGCGTTCAGTCTTGAGAAGTTTACTTTATCATCTTTGAAACTGGTGAGAAGGCAAGGCCCTTGACGCACAGGAGGTGATTGGTACTATGCTGAGTCCCGTTTGCCTTGCAGGGTACAGGACTAATACGGCAGGGCTGGGCTTCTGCCCTTGCGTACCCAGGATTCCGTACAAAAAGTAAGTGATAATCACACACATCTTTGCTCTGTTCCCTTCTCAGCTAAAACCATTGAGTCCTCAAAGACCCATGCTGCGGACAGGGAACCTTCCATGGGCTTGATCAACCCACCTCTGACTACCGAATTTAACAGTACAGCTTCTCCAGCGAAGACTAAACAGGCACACCTCCCAACAAACGAGGGTGAGCACTTTTCTGAACGCATATGTAACAACACCAGGAGGGAAAGTCTCAGGAACACCCAAGGATTACTCAGTTTTTTTTTCCAGGGGTGGTAAGTACCTGAGTACTTCTGAAGTACTTCCACACCCACTTCTGAGTGGTGAAGCTTGGAGGCTTCTCTCACTTAACAAGTTGAGGCATTTGCCCTGGGAAGCAATTTGGTGATATGGCAATAGTCTTAGCCTGGAGGTGCAGCCATCAGAAATTCTAGGAATAAAAAACTTCTGTGGCTGGGTGACACTGAGGAATGAGGAAGTTCACTTTCCCCTTCTACCTCAATACCAAGGGGCTCTGCGGTTACTGCGCATCCAAGAGGAACAGTGGGACCCGCTAATCCAAGTGTCTCTGTCTTTCCCCCAGATCCATCCCACAGTTACTCTAAAAAGCACCATGGAAATCGAGGGAAAAGCTCTGGGACCAGGCTTGGAGGTAGGTCCAAAGGTTAGCCAGAGGAGGAAGAGACCACGTGCATGAAGGTTCATCAGTGCCCCTAACCAATTGCAGGGTTACAGTCCTCTAGGTCCAGCTGAGGATGCACAGTGCTCAACAGGGAACAAGGGCACCAAATTACCTGTCTCAGAAATTCCTTGCTATGATCACACAGATCTCCCTGGGCCAGAGTACAAAAGTGAGCGAGAACATGCAAATGCTGCCCCAGTTCACTAGGAAAAACAGTGATATCCCCTACCGCTGGTGCAATCCCCCTGCCCTTCTGCTGCATATCAGAGTTCCAGAATGGAGAAGTATGGACAGTTGCTGTCTTCTGAGCAAGACAGAAAGCCCTCCCACGGCCATTTTCAATAGATGGATGCTCAGTGGAATAGAGCAACCACAATGTGTTGAACTTAAACAAAGTAATTTTCCTGCTCTACTGATGGGGCTGTTACTGCTGTTCTGCAGCTATATCAGAGGTGCTTTTTGCAGCTGTAACAGATATTGAATAAGAATGGGTATGGCAAATGCATGATTGTTTTATATATCCTGTCAGGCACCAACTGGAAGACAGCCATGCTAGTCCTCAGCCCCTTGGCATTCATACTGGGATTAATAATACTGACGCTGAATGTTCATTACAACAAGTAAGTGAAGATGAAGGTTCTTTTGATTGGTCACCTCCCTGTCTGGCATTTCAGAATAAAGTCCTGATCTTGGTAGCCTCCCCACTCCCACACCTGAAATGTTTGTCTCTGACCAGCTGGTCATCTCCCCCCTTGATTTCTCCTCTCTGGCATCCTGTTTCTCCCTCCCACTTACTACCCCATCCAAATGCAGCTGCTAATGTTGGCTCCTTCTGCTCTACACCACTCAGATAATTTGGTTAAGGAAATTTGGGCGCTGCAGACCCAGTGCACATGCAGAAGCATCAAGCAGCAGGCAAATGCAGTTACACAGTCTCTTCTCCACTGTCCTAGGAAGAAGAAAATCCTCTCCGCTTTGAAGAGCTCCCCACATAGCAGCAGAGTTGACTTACGGGAGCAGCCTCCACCACCAAGAGGCCCACAGCCATACACTCCCCCGTCTCGCTCCCCTTCCTTGAGGCATGGGGAGATCCTCATTGAGTGGAAAGACGGGACTGTCACTCCTCTTTTTGATAATGCCAATTATCAAATGGACTAGCTCCAAAATAACTGAGCTGTTGTTTCCTACTGTGTTACTCTCCATTCTTCTCAACAGGAAGAGGGCCTCCTTAGAGAATTTTCTCCCTTGCCTTACCATTTTTGATAGGGAGTTGTAAGGGATGTCTCTTTTTTTTTTTTTTTTTAAACAGTCGAGAACAATCTCCCTGTGCAGCGCAAAGTTGAAGCAAACAGAACAGATTGTTTTGTTTGCATAGGCATACACTGCTTAGCTCTTGAAGAGCTAATTTAACCCATGACAAGACCCAGATTTAGCTAAATGAAGCTGAGCATCTTGTCAACTGCAACTGTCTGCTGCCCTGAAATTCTAGCGTTTTTGAGCATGCAAGAGAGTAATTCCTCTGAGACAAGGAATAAGGTGAAAGCACAAATCCTGGTGATCCTTAAATGCTTTTTAAGCTTAAAACTAGCTGCCAACAGACACAAAAAGTCATCAGTTATTTTGTCCATGAGAAAATGTAGCTAATAAGCACTGCCTTCGGGCCTCGAAGGTGAAAGTGTCTCCTCGAGATATCTGCCAACTGCCCCTCCACACTAAGTTATCATTTAAGGAAAAGAAAGTCATTTTTCTAAATTAAACAGTTGCACTCTCCTCTCTGCAACACAGCAAGACTCCTGCTGACAGAGTATCTGTTTCACAAATTATTTCTATATTTAGGATGTATTAAACCTTATCATTAACACCCTTCCCTTTCCTTATGCGGAAGGGAGAGTAACGTCAGTGATACCTGCCAGTGACATTGTCTCGCCATTTTACACCAGTTTCAGTTTCTGATTTCCTATGGTCATATGCAATATTCAATGAACAGACATACTGCCCTGCATCTAGAGCAGTAAGACAGGATTATTATTTCTGGAAAGGAGTAATGCACTGTTTTCAGCCTTTGCATTTCCTCTTCTATGAGCATAATTATCCACCACCCATCACACCCAATCCTGATCTTTTCTTAGTGAAATTAGCAACATCTTAGTTCCTTCCTAAAATTCATGAATTTAGGCTTTCCTTCTCTCTGATCTTGTGACACTATAAACCATAAGCTGGGCTATAAATCAGGAATTACTTGGAGAAAGCAACGCTAATATCAGGAACTACTAGTATGAGCTACATCGATATATATGTTCAAAACTGCAAGGGAAACTATATCCTGACTTGTCCCTTAGCTCCAACTTGGATGACACTTTTCAGTTTACCTAACTGAATTTGTTAGGTAACTTCAGTGAAGCTCGGACTTTTCTACAGTTTGATTTTATTTAACCTAAGACAACAGTAAGATTTATAGGGAATTTAAACTCCGATATTTTTTTAAACATAGATCCACAGCCTAGTAAAAAGTTAACTGCCACAACATGGTATTATGACAAGAACATAGTCGATCTCAGGAAAGAAAATATAAACCTTACTAGTTCAGGACAAATTCACAAATGTTTTCCCCTAGCAGATTATTCCATAATTATTCACTGGAGGGTTTCCCCACACACCTTCCTTGGGAACACATTTTAGACCTGGACGAAGGCAGACGAAGAACTCCTTTTACACCAGTGACTGACACAAGCGTCATTCAGAATTGAATTCTGACCTTCCAGTGCTTCCACCTTTACACTTGGTGTATACTTTCATGAAGGTCAAGTTTCCAAATGTCTAAGCATCACTTTGCCCACAAAATTGGTGGAAATGCTTTCTGTACACAAATCCCTCAAGATGAGCATGCAGTACCTCGCCAGCCATCACAGTTACATCCCTCTTACCTTCTTCTACCACAATTTAGATGCCCATCCTTGAAATTTTGTCCATGGAGCACATTATCTAGTGATTCACAGCAGTTGCTACCCTTCAAAATGTTGATGCACTTTGGGAACACTATATTTGCAGTGCCATCAAAATGCACATACTCACTTGGAGTTCAGCTAATGCTGTGAAACCAGCAAGTGCTTATGTTCATTACTGCTGACTAGGCAGAACAGATGGCTTGATAATAACTCTAATTCATACTTAGTATGCAAATCTTGCTCAAACACAAAGGGAGTAACACCATTGCTTACAAAGCATTGATTAAATGGTAGGTTAAATAATAATAAGAAAAAAAGACAGTGAAGCAGCGTGGGCTTTTAACTATTTTCTCCCCTTCTTTTTACTGGTTCTTACTTTTTAAATAATTTCTCACTGGTTTATTTAGAATAGATACTAGAGACAAACTCACCAAGGTATGGACAGAGGAGGTGAGGCTGTCATTCCATCACTGGAGGAGTAAAAGACAAAGTAGCCAACTGTCCATCAGGAAAGACACTGAAACAGCTGATTCTCCCTTGGGGCAGTGGATGGACCAGTGGCAGGTGCCTTTCATCCTCTGCTTCTAGCAACCGGTTGAGAAGCATTCACTCAGCCTGCGCGCTCTTCGCTGTCTACTATGACCTGAATACAATGTTTTTAAACAGTGTTCATAAATCAAAATAAAACCTGTCTTTAAAGTGGAGGAGCACTGGAATAATTTTTTTTAAATACAAAACAGGGTGCGCAAGTGGGCTTTTATAAATTACTCTATAGGAGGGGAACACAGTGCTGAGCAAGACACCACTGCCACAGTGGTACTGACATTATCAATACATACAGCGCCAAATGATGGGTGCTGCATGTTTGGAGAGTTACATGATGCTAAACTGCAACCTGTACTTCTCAGCCCAGTTCTGCTGCATCTCTGGCATCGCCCTGCCTTGGGTCCTTTTCCAGGGACGGTATGATGCTGATGACACTGTTTCTTCACTCCAGCAGTGAGAAGGAAGACAGACTGGGAGCCTAATTTCTCATATACTTAGTTCCCTTGCAAGGGAACAAGTGCCTAGGCAACAACGGCTTGTGGAGACCAGGGGGAGAGGGGACACTTTTTTCCCCAAAAGCTTCTCAAAACTCAAAAAACAAGATTCCTGATCCAAAAGCGTTAATACTACCATCATGCTTTTTTGGTATTAAGGTACTGAAACATCCAAAAGATACCACCCATTACTATCAGAACATATATGATCACACAAAGCACTTACAAGCTCAACTCCCACTGATATGAAGGAAATTAATAGATATTCACAGGGGATCAGATGCAGGCGAGCTCACTAGTACCATCACAGGCTACTGTAATCATCCAGCATGATCAACCGCAGCACAGCAATGGCAATGCATATGAGCTTGCTGCTCACATGTGGGTACGGCCTACAGCCACTGAAACCCTGATACTATCAAACTGATGCAAGACTGCATGTTAGCTTACATATTCGGTGCAGAAGCTGGGCCTCTAGGCAGCAAGAGAGTTCACTCTCCCAACCCACAGAATAATGTATGGCCAACATTATTGATGCAAAAATAAAAAGCAAAGAAAGAAGATAACTTAAAATTTGCCTTTTAAATACTGTATATCAACTGTTTACTGAGTTTCCTTGGATGGAAACTGTTTTTATCACAGTAGATTATTGATGTACATACATGCATGATACAAACAACCAAGACCTGAAATGATAGGACAAGTTATTACAGCAAATCAATGGAGGACTTTATTTTTGCAGTAAACACTTGGTTATTAATTATCTCCATATGCTCATTTTCACAACTCTATAGTTCTCATCAGCAACTCAGGAGATGAGAAGCGTTTTGACTTTCAAAAAAGACCTATCGTTGCTCAGCACTTTGAAAAAAAAAAAGAAACAAGAAGTCTTTGTTGGCTGTGGTTTCAATTCAGACATCTCTGGCTTATGGATGAATCAGACTCTTTCCTGCATGAGCTAGAAAAAGCTAGGGGACACAAAAGCACAAGTTCTCTGAAAGCTCCAACTACTTTCACTGAATTTGTATAGATTAAAGGAGGAATGTACATTTATGCAGCCATCCAATACTATTCATAAAAAAAAAAAAAGGCCATTTTTCTTTAAAAAAAGTTTCCCTTATCCTACGTAAAGCATTTATTTTCTGGAGCAGAGAAACTGATGCGCACCTTTCAGCATTGCTTGCATATCCTCATATTCTGCAAATCTGCAGGCATCCTCCAGCTTCAGCCACTGGAAAGCCTGGTGCTCCTCTGAAAGCTTAATTTCTGTGTTACAGTCCTTCATTTCTGCCAGCCAGTAAACGACGGTCTTGGGTTTGCCATTGACAAGGTAGTGCAGTTCCTTCTTATACCCCTCTATGAGGGTGAGCTGACTGGCCTGGAGGCCTGCCTCTTCCTGTGTTTCCCGCAAGGCTGTTTGAAGGTCATCCTCTCCTGGATCAACGTGGCCTGCCAAGAGAGGGAAAAATAAGTCTCCAAGTAGGAAACTTTTTTTTTTTTTCCAGTTGGCAATGAGGAAACATTGGTTTTGTATTAACTACTGTGCCCTCTCATCTCTGTCCCCCAAACTGAAACTGAGGAACAGAGATTGCATTTCAAGTAATTTTACATCTTGATTCCCTCTCTCTTGTGGCTTTTAGGATCTGTTTATCCCGCATCTTCTGAAATTACCAGTGGCCCATCAGCACTAGAAATCTTATTTTCCCAGTACTCTTTTCTGGAGTACTCTGCACCCAGAACGCTCCAGCTCAGAGATCACATTTCAGGCCAAGAACTGTGAGCCTCATGAATCCTTTCCTTTAGCCAGCTAAAGGGGGATAACGCTGACCTACAAAAGTCCTAATCCTCTCTCAACTCTTCCCTCCCACAGAAACTTAAGACCCAATCCTGCAAAACTCTTACTTACACCAACAGCCCAGAAATAATGGGACCAAACACAAACAAATGCCATTTAAAGAGTGGATTTCAGGAAAAAGCCTTCAATCACTGGATTCAGCTCATAGGAGAAGAGCATTAGAGCAGTCTGAATACTGCTTTATAACCAAAAACTGAAAGTTGTCAGAGAACAGAACTAGGCTTCCCACATGCCTTCCTTATTCCAGTAGATCCTGAACTAGTAAGAAATTAATCATAGAGACAGAGCTACTTCAACTGGAGAAGCAAATTGAATCACTCATGTAAGGGAAAGGGGGGGGGGACTGTCTCTGGGCACACTGTTAAAAGTGTTGCTGTACTTCGCCCTTGAAGCAGCTGCATTTTAATGGTGAATCAAATGGTCACGTACCCTGAACTGTCCTAGAAACCTTTAGATACAAAACTATGACATTAAAGAGATCAAAACCACCAATATTTTCTCCTATGTTAGGACATACAACAGTCTGGGGTACTTTCATTTCTCTCCCATAATCCCCTCTGAAATACAGCAAGCCTAAAAGCCAGTCCTTTCAGCAGCTGTGTAATTCTTCAGGGCGCTCCATTTCTCTTATGTTACTTAGAATGAGAGGTGCCATTACAAACAATGAACAAATATAGCATATCCCCAGCTGTTCATACTTCTGTTGAGAAAAGTCAGATTTGGTTTTCTCATGTAAGCTTCAGACAAACAGAAATAGAACAAGCCAGGCAAGACCTCAAAAAAGGAACATACAAGGAGTTAGGAAGTTTCAAAATTAAAAAAAGTTAGGCTTCACCTTTTCCCTGTTTTAACTCTGTTTTCTATGTACATGTCTGCAAGTGACCATGATTTCAGCAGAGAGACTAATCTTTCCTCAAATCCCAGATATCCAAAGCCACCCTTTAGAACTAGAACCAGTGTACACAGGAATCCTATATCCCATTGCCAACAGGTCCCACTCACTTCTTTCCCTGTGTATCAGGAACTTTACAATGTGGTATCATCTCAAATGTAAAATACAGTTCAATTCCTGAAGACAGCTGTACAGAAAACAGCATCCGATGTTGCATATTGATATATTTGAGATCAAATGCGCTGAGGGTTTAAGTGAAAATATTTTTCCCTGAGGCTCAACACCGCAAGGCAAGCCGCCACCTTCTTTTCAACAATGTCAATATTTTCACAGCTGGGACTTAGACTAACAGTTGAGAAACAGAATCCACTCAGCCTTGCACAGCTGGATTACTTTTACAGTGTCAATAGGAAACACTCACAGAACACTCATGAATAGTAAATAATCATTTTTTTTAATGATATTCATGACCCATATTCATCAAGCATGTGATGAGCTGAGATAGTGAAGAAGCTGAAGGGCTGAGATCCTATTCCAGCTCAAAGAACACAAATGCAAATCTCCTGTCCACCAGCAGAGGGAAAGGCAATCACTTCATCACACTCTTGCTAACCACAAGTCTAAGCTCAGCGAGCTTTAAGCTTTGTGTAATATGCCCTAATTTGTGGGAGAAAAGAACTGCTGACAGCACATCACACAGCACCTTCCAGGTCCACTAAGCACTAATTTGCACTAATGCTGTTCCAATATGCTGAGAAGGAAAATGAACCCTACATCCCCTTCCCATCAGGCTCAATTAGTGGCAATGTCACCATTCTAGGAGCTGAGATGAGGCTGATAAGTTCATTTGGGGGGGATCCAAGCAGGTACAGTTTAATCCTATAAGGGTTGCAGCTGCTTAAGGCACTTTTACAGTATCAACAAACAGCTGAGGCTGTAAGTGGACTCGACCCCTCTGTGCTCTCACAGATTTGATAACTTCTTTATCATTCTGGCTCCTGACACGTTAAAATCCATGTCTGCATCATATACGTCATTGCATCACACAACCTGGGGCTGCCTTTGAAGGCCACTCAGAGAATATAGAATATAGAAATGCAATGGCTCATTCATTTACTACTTCAAAAACTGTATCAAGCAACCATTACATCTGTCATCATATGATGGCTTTTGCATTATTTTTGATCTATAAAACTAAGTCAAGATACAATCTTGACTGTCTGAGATGTGAGTAAAATGACTCATAGACATACAAGTGTGCTCGCTTGTCCACAACTACAGTATTCCCAGTGAACCTTTCCATAAGGAACTCTCTTCTTGCAACAAATAATCATGTCCCAGCCCATGTTTTTTTGGCTTTCCAGTAGCCTGTAAACTCTACTGCCTTAGCCCTTTGGTGAAGAGGAGAGAGGGAGAGGTTCGGAAAAATGTGTTCTTTCCTTTAATAGCAGGGCATAGTGATGATACTATTTCTAGCTTTTTGCCAATCTGCAAATTCCTGTTTAAACACTGTCCATGTGCTATGCTTTCACAGCGCTCCATTTTACAAAACAAGAAGTAAAAACTAGGCAAAAAGCGAAAAGAAATCTCACATGGTAAGAAAAACAGCTTGCGAAGATCCACGAGGAATTTAAATTATTTCTGTGTTGTACTTTCCCCGGTACCAGAGCCACAACCAAATATTGGCTCTGCCGTGCATCTTTACAGACAAGGCACTGCTGTGGGCCTCGGGGTACTGCAAGGGCTTGTCATCAGCCTTGGGGTACTGCAAGGGCTTGCCATCTCTCCTTCAGGGCCTCACTGATGAGTGAGGACGGCTTGGGTGAAGATGGCTGATGAGGCTATTTCTCCTAGCTGTCTCTCCCATCTCTGCTACAGGTCTGTGTTCCTCTCTAATCATCTCCTGAATGATACCACCTTAAAGAAAGTCATTTTAAGGTAAATCATCACCAATTTCAGTTTGCCTTCTAATGTTGTGCCTCAAGATGTAACCATTCCGGTAAGTGGATCAAACACCCCTGCATCGACAAGAGCAGCATCTGCCAAAGGGTCAGATCTGAGAAGGAAGGTAATAACTTGTCTCACTCCCCAATTTTAGTTGGCTGCTGAATGTCCGTCAAAAGCTTCAGATATCTGAAGGAGCAGGACTGGCTGACTCCCCACCCCCCCCCATCAAACCGTCATGCCCAATAGTTTATACAACTACAATTTGTAAAGAATTTGGGCCATAAAATTCCCCACTCTGCTGCTGAAAAAGCCTAGACCTGCTACAGTTAACTGATTAAACTGCCCTACAACGCTCACCATAGCGGTGTTCAACCAAAGGTCAGTCTGTAATCTCGCTAACACAAACAACACTGAAGTATATTACCAGAACAAACATTACCTTTGGGTGGGGTCCAGTGATGGGTCCCATAGGACGTTTGAAGAAGGAGGTATTCGATATTGTCAGTGACCTTAGAAGGGGGTGCTGACTGCAGCCTCCTGTAGATTATCAAGCCACATGCTCTCACAGCCATGCTCCTCTGCTAACTGCAACAAGAACTGTGGAAGAGTGCAGAGCATCAAGCGTGAATAACAGGGGAGCTCAAACGGACAAGTTATATTTATCCAGAAAACGTATTTCAGTACAGATTAAAAATTATCCATTCCTTTGCAATTACTGCATAACTAAACTACACCTTAACAACCACCTTAAAAAGGTAAAAACGGAGCTTTTCCTTTTAAAAAGGGAAAGCAAGAACATATATAAAAGCCCGGATGCCAAAAAAAAACCAAAAAGTATTCTCAGGAAGCTAGAAATACAACCTGCACGACACTTCTTCGCAGCTGATATGCTACAGATGACACTGCAGGCAGAGAAAACCATAAAGCAAAAGCAAAGGTTGCAATTAACGCTCTAAAACCTTTTTACAACTCTTTGTTTTGTCCTCCCCCCC